AGCAGAGGGATCCACACGCTGCAGGTTGTCCACGTACTGCGCCTCATCCCAATAGAGTGTAAGATTGGCAATCTCAGGACCAGCGTTYGTACCCATAGGGATACCGACATCTTGATGACGAACAAGGCCATCCACTGTATACAAATATGTATTTGTAACAATAAACCGAAGATGTTGAAGAATGTCAGAAACATACGTCATTATCCGGCCATCCTGTGGCTCTAGTGCCAGCAGTGTGTCTGGAGTGCACTTATTTTCTGGTTGGGACTCATATACCTTTCTTTGTTTCGTTGGAGGGTTACTGATTTATGATGATGGGGTGTGAAACTGCAGTCTGTAGAGTATTCCGTCTGCTGTGGGTGATTGATAGTCTTGCTTTGATTTTCGTCAAAGATACCTTCGAGGGCAGTGGTTGGTGGCTAAATACAACTGGGGTGAAGGTGGATTATTCCTTACAGTGTAATTGCTCATAATTGCTCAGGGGACTCTGCAGACTGTAAAGGGTTCCGCCTAGTGATGAGTCGATGAAACTTTAATGAAATAGTAATGTGTCACAGCCTCCCTCTTTTTGTCCTTTCCCACACTGTCTGCCTACAATTCACCGGGCAGTTCTCTATATCCACCGGCAAATAATATATATACTTATACATTTGCATACATATCGTCATAGAGGGAGAAGAGGACAACAAACGACGGGCTGTGACAAACTGTTTCATCGGAGTTTCACCGACTCATCAGCAGGCTGAACCCTCTACAGTCTGCAGAGTTCCCTACCCGATAATACTAACAGTGATAATCTACCGTTAGATTTATATGTATCGTCACAAACAGAACTGCCCGGTAAACCGTAGGCAGAGAGAAAGAAAAGGACAACAAACGAGGGGCTGTGACAAACTGTTTCGTCGGAGTTTCACCGACTCATCAGGAGGCTGAACCCTCAACAGTCTGCAGAATCCCCTCACTGATTACACTGTAAATGATAATCTACCTTAACCAAAATCAAAGTAGACTATCACTCACCCACACCAGATGGAAAACTCTACATATATTGTCACACTGTGAATCAATCGGAGCGCTAAGGCGGAAAAAAACAAAACAAGAAAAACAAAAGAAGGAAAGCCCCACCTGTTCATCACCTCTTACGTACAAGGCCAGCATATATATATGTATATATATATATATCGTCACAAACAGAACTGCCCGGTAAACCGTAGGCAGAGAGAGAGAAGAGGACAATATATATCGTCACAAATAGATATATATATATAATATAATATAATATAATATAATATAACGTTATTATATATCATAATACAAAACTGCCCGGTGGACCGTCGGCCTTCTGGGAGAAAAGGACAACAAACGAGGGGCTGTGACAGACTGTTTCGTCGGAGTTTCACCGACTGACTCATCAGGAGGCTGAACCAATGTACCATTTGTCTCGTGGGCTTATGAGAGTGGAGGTGGAGCGGTACTCACTCGCTTGATGTATGATCAGCGTCGGCGTGAGGATATGAGGGAAAGGCTCAAGAGCCGCCTCGACTCCCTTGGCCAGACTGATAATCACTGCAGGTGGAAGACTTCTCTCCCTCCAGATTGATCCGATGTCCTTAAACACCGCTCTCGTCTCCGTCGACGGCACTCCGTTCACCACGATGTCTGCGTCCCACACCGCTTCTTGGAGATTGGTCACGACTCGGAGGGGACACAACGGAGTGTCCACCATATTCACACAGAATCCATCTCTGAGGATCTCCTCCGCATACAAGACTCGATCGCCTAGCCTCGCCTCCACGTACTTAAGATAGGCGCAGCGGCGAAGTAATCGCCGCAACACATCCTCTCGGCTGTTGATGATGGAGAAGAGACGTTCTGAAAACTCCTTGTCGAGAGCCCGACCCGGGCGCCGCCATATCCGAATATCGATCTTATCTTGAAGATGGCCATACATGTCGACCAGGAGCGCGATGAAAACACTACCCCAAGCGCCGGCGCCGATTCCGCGAATGCGTAGAGGGTCTCCATTCGCCTTGTTGAAAAGCGCTCTCAGCTCATCAAGACGGAGTTCTGGGGACTCCGAGCTCGCCGGCAGGTGCCGCCGAGACCGGGACAGGTAAGGTACCAGCTTCGGTACCGCCGAGCCAGGAAGGTCCGCTGACGACGAAGAGGCACCGTTCGTGGTCGATGCAAGATCTTCCCCACTCACACCGACGACGCTTCCGCCTCTTCCCGCTCCTCCCGCGCTTACTGCAGCTGCAGCTGCGGCGGCGGCGGCGGCGGCGGCGGCGGTGGCTGCAGCTGGCCCGCGCGAGGACATCTGCATCTGCGCGCCAATAGCACTGTAAGCACCCTCTCGCAAGCCGGCTTCAGAGTTAGATAACCCCCCTCCTCCACCTCTCCTCGACGACGATCGGTCGCTCGACATCGCCGCTTCTGATATCGCCTCCATAGCTCGCGTTGGAAACAACACACTTCGAAAAACGATTGCCGACATAACTTTGTACTAGCGAGGGGTTGCCCGCTCTCATGCTGAATGTCACAACGCTGCTAGTCACGAACCGTTAGCGGGATTCTCCGTCTGTCTTCTCTGACCTGCACGCTACTGACAAATCATCTCTCTCTCTCTCTCTCTCTCTCTCTCTCTCTCTCTCTCTCTCTCTCTCTCACACACACACACACACACACACACACAGACACACCGTTTCTCTCTTCTCTGACCTGGACGCTACTGACAAATCATCTCTCTCTCTCTCTCTCTCTCTCTCTCTCTCTCTCTCTCTCTC